ATCTGTTCAATACAGGCCAAAAAGAACCTCGGTGGCCTGTATGGCATCTTGGGAAAGAAGGCAACATGATATCAACATGCGCGAAACATGCTTTTAGTTGTTGTTTTTGACTCCTTTTTTTATTTTTGAAATATTTGTTTTATTTTGTTCTTTCGTTTATTTCATTTGTGCATTTACAGTATTAAACCTCTAATCACAAATCACGACCTCGATTGTATTTGCACATTTTTTTTGGCCAGGTATACGTTATAACCTTTTATTATTTTTTAAATAATTTATTTAAAAGTTATAAAATTGTGAAATGCGTTTTCTGTAGTACTGTTTTTTTGTTTTGTTTTAAATCACACGCTGTTGCTGCGCTTGCACCTCATCCTCTCTTGCGCATCTCTCGCGCTGTCTTGTCAGAGGACATGAACACATGTTTTGATTACACCACCGGTGGCCGAGCGGCTCCTCCGTTATTCGTAATTAAACTCAATTCCCAAAGTAACATTTATCTTCCAGGGTCTGTGCGTTCACTGTGCGCGAGCGCCACTGCCTTCTGCTGTGCGAGAGGAGATGCGCGCGGGGTCAATCAATAAAGCGAGGACACAGACACGGTATGTGCATCATGCATCTGTTGCAATCAAACAATGCTGCAGTGTATGGGACATTTGTGTGTGTGTGTGTGTGTGTGTGTGTGACATTTGTATTTTGGTTAGAGTTGCGCGTGCACGTTGAGTTATGGAAATGTATTGCCGTGAAGTTTCACCACCTTATTTATTTGTCTGTTAGTCTTTACATGCTGATGCAATTTCAGGGATTTACATTTTTATTTTTTTTAACTCTGTGTGGTATGAAAATGTTTTAGTGCTGGACAGGGATTCATTAGTTAGTTATCATAATCTCACCATCCACAAACCAAAGTCTTTAAATCATCTGAGAGAAAAGTACGTTTGATTTTTGTATTCATTCTGTAGAATTAACTTTACACGCTGTACAGGTCTTGTTTCAGAATACATGGCTGACATTTACAATTTGCGCAAAGTATCATTTTTTCCCCCCCGATGTGCCTTGCTTAATTTTTTGTTGCGTATTTTTCTCACTCTCAATTTTGAGCTCAACTGCGTCTTGTTCTTTGAATTAGAAAGGGTAAGCACTGCCAAGGAAACAACAGAGCTGTTGTGCAAATCGAAGAAAGAGAGAAATGAATCTGATCAGCCATCTATCACTTCCCGCAATAAAGGAGACGACACGGCGGAGGCAGATGATTTGATGAATAATCTTCGGTCGTTTTAATTAACTTTTTGCTGTCCTATAATGACCAAGTTGGTCAACGGAGCCGGTCAATAAGAATGTTAATATCAAACAAATAAAACTTCTCATGATTAAAAACCTCCTGCTTTATTAAATTTGAAATTCAAATGAAATTTATGCCTCCAGTCCACGACGCATGTAAATAGAGTAGCCAGGGCTACATCATTATCCTGAGAGCATTTCTGCATTCCTCGTCCTGATATCAATAGCCTGCCACTGTATTGCTGTTGAGCGTTAACAGAACACAAAAGCCATATTCCACCTTGTAAAGACGTTTACATGCATTATGTGAAATGATTTTTATACTGACCAACAAGAGTTAAATGCTCGCAATTCGTAATACATACGTGATAATAACAAAATGTCAGAAAATACTCCAGTCCTGCGTAAAATGCTGTGTGTGTTACTTGCCATGTGTGTGTTAAGGAAACAGTGAAAGAAAGAGATGGTCGCCTAAAGTTATGAGAGTAGCCTATACATATTGATTTCGTTAATTTGCTATGCATGCATATACATTTTTTTTTAAATCAATCGACCCACAATGCACGCTCATTTGAATAATTTAAACGTTTGTCTACAAAAGGAAAGTTTTATTAAACGATGTTAATTTTCGAAACAATGGTCAAACATTTAAAGAACAGTTATTTTATTTAAAAAATAAAGGCAACCTGTTCGTTTTCTCTTCTTGACCTGTACAACATAATTTCTTTAAATAAATAGTTTATGGGAATCTACATTCTACAAAACAACCTGTAAGACAATGACAACGACTTGTAAGAGTGATATGATATACAATTGCTATTTTTTCCGTTATCATAACTTGTAGCACACATAATAATAATAATTAGCATTATTATTCATAACAGATCAGGGGGTCCACCAGTAACCTCGTTAACCTCTTTATACAAAAGAATAGAAAAGTTTTCCCTACAACTTCCAGTCCTACTCATTTAAGTTGAGTTTTATTATGAGGGGGGTGTTGGAAGGGGTGGAGATCTTGTCTGAAGTGCTCTATCGATGACCTCACGCTAGAATGTGGCCGCGTGAAGGTACGGCTCGTCCTGATTGGCCGCCCGTGTCACAGCGGCACTTCAAAGCCGTGAGAGGAGCTACAATTGTGCTGGAATGGGCGGACCACATCATTGTATTGCACACCTCTAAAAAAAACAGTGCTCTGATTCATAAATATAAAAAGATCCTCTGAGGAGGGCACTTTTGTGATGGCAACTTCACTTCTAGGGGTGAGTCTAAGGAGTTTCGTGCTGGTTTAATTAGTTTCCTTTATTGTCCTGCCGTGGGGATTAACATTGCTTGGGTCAGCCGGGGAGAGAGTCACTTGATTATGTTTTAAAGCGACAGAAACGAGCAGGACTTCCATTTCTCAACTACGACATTGTATGTATAACTTATCTTGGTATTTCTATGCTGTGTTTCGCTTTTGTTTTGTGTTTGCGAGTTGTTGTAGCTATTTCAGTGGTTAAGATTTGCCTTACTCCAGGCATGCTGGGGATGCAGCGAGTTCAAACTGTTCTTCGAACGCGCACAGTTCCCAGATCTACCATCTTTACTTACCTCTTAACTTCTTTCGTTCCAGGAGGAGCCGAGATTGGGGTCGACTCCTTTAGCCATGTTGGCTGCGACGTGTAACAAAATCGGGAGTCCGAGTCCTTCTCCTTCCTCTATTTCGGATACCTCGTCTTCGTTCGGGAAAGGATTCCACCCGTGGAAACGAGCGGCAGCCAGCAGCTGTAGTTTGGGATCCAGTTTATCCTCTTTCGCTCGGAATGGGGGTGGTTTAAGCGACTCTTTTGGCACGAACACGTCCACGGGATCCAGTGCCTTTTCCTTAACTTCTGGTACTTCATCCAACTCCCACTTCGCAAACGACTACTCCGTTTTCCAGGCGTCGGTTTCCAACAACTCCCAAGAGCCCAGCCACCAGCCCATGTTTATTTCCAAGGTGCACACGTCCGTGGACAGCTTGCAAAGCATTTACCCGAGAATGAGCGTGGCGCATCCCTACGAGTCGTGGTTCAAGTCCTCGCACCCTGGCATACCCACCGGGGATGTGGGCACCACGGGCGCATCCGCGTGGTGGGACGTGGGAGCCGGTTGGATTGACGTGCAGAACCCGAACGGAGCCGCGCTCCAGACGTCCCTTCACTCCGGTGGGCTGCAGACTTCCTTACACTCTCCTTTGGGGGGATACAACTCAGACTACTCGAGTTTAAGCCACTCTGCTTTTAGCACCAGTGCGTCCCCGCATCTGCTGACCACCGGTCAGCATCTCATGGACGGATTCAAACCCGTGCTCTCCTCGTACCCGGACTCCAGTCCCTCTCCCCTGGGTGGAGCTGGATGTTCCATGTTGACAGGGGGTCCGACGGCCTCGTTGGCGGGATCTCCGCGGTCCTCGGCGCGGCGCTACTCGGGCAGAGCGACGTGCGACTGTCCGAACTGTCAAGAGGTGGAACGCCTGGGTCCAGCTGGCGCGAGCCTCCGCAGAAAAGGGCTACACAGCTGTCACATTCCCGGCTGTGGGAAGGTGTACGGCAAAACGTCCCACCTCAAGGCTCACTTGAGGTGGCACACCGGAGAAAGGCCGTTTGTGTGTAACTGGTTGTTCTGTGGGAAGAGGTTCACGCGCTCCGACGAGCTCCAGCGACATTTACGCACGCACACCGGCGAGAAGCGCTTCGCTTGTCCCGTGTGTAACAAGAGGTTCATGCGGAGCGACCACCTCAGTAAACATGTCAAAACGCACAGTGCCGGAGGCTCATCAGGGTCGGGCTCTGGGGCGAGTGGAGGGAAACGAGGGAGCGACACCGACAGCGAGCACAGTGCGCCCGGTAGCCCCTCGTGCCACTCACCTGACCTGTTGCAACCTCCCGAGTCTGTCCCGACGACGGGCATGAACGGCCGTGCAAACTCCCTCGATTAATCCCGTTCAAAATGCACGTACACGAATCTCGAATGGACTAGAAACTTACCTGACGGTTCACAAAAAGGTTGTGCTGTTCGTTCGGTAACACTTTATAAAAACTTTCAATAATTCCGATTGTTAACGAACACTATCAGATCGCTAGTTAATGCACATTCAATTCTGAATATCCCATGTGAAACCATATAAACCAAAGTTTCATCTCTTTTGAGCTATTCGAGTGTGCATTAACTAATTTTCTGTTAAGCTTAATACTATCTGTTAAGTCAAAAGTGAAAGTTATTATAAAGTGTCACCTGGTGAAATAACCGTGTGGCCATTTCACTTGGATGTTGTAAAGTGATTCAATTTACGATTAAAATGTAATTTACAATGAAGTAAGCCTGTTTTGGTCTGCACAGATTCTGGGACATGGATTTGGTAAAATAAGGGGATATTAAAAAGGACATAATCTAATATGTGCGTTCTGATGGGTATTTGTCGAATAGTCTTATTTTACTTACTGTTGTTATGAAACCGAAAAATGTATTTTTGACACATTCAGGCCCTGCAGGACTTTCACATTCTGACGGGTTGGATAGGAGAATTGCACATCTCGGAATTCAATATTCCCTGAAAAGTTTGTCTGAAAAAAAAGATTAGATATGCATGTATTATATGTTGTGCTTTTTTGGTGACCACTTCAAACCATTTGAGTATTTCATACTTACTGGTCGTTGTCCAGACTCGTCATAGATATCGATGTTTGGCTTCTTTTTACATTCTGACGGGTTGGATAGGAGAATTGCACATCTCGGAATTCAATATTCCCTGAAAAGTTTGTCTGAAAAAAAAAGATTAGATATGCATGTATTATATGTTGTGCTTTTTGGTGACCACTTCAAACCGTTTGAGTATTTCATACTTACTGGTCGTTGTCCAGACTCGTCATAGATATCGATGTTTGGCTTCTTTTCTAGCAGCAGTAAGATCCTCCCCGCTGCGACTTTGGCTTTGGCAAAGTCAGGGGCGAATGATGAGGACTGACCAATGTTCATTGCAGCAAAGACGATCACAGAAAACACCCTGTGGAAGACGAACCAACACATCAATGTAGCAAAGAGTGTGCTTGATATTCAAATATCACATACATATAAAGTCTTTATAAAAACCGTACTTACAGGAAAACATTTTCATATTCTGTGTAGCAGCGTGCAATAAGCCAGGCTCCGAAGCGGAAGATTGCGGCATTGACCAGGTAAGGAATGGCTTGGGCTAGAGCAAAGGTGATTCCGTAGATGGGTGCTTTACACAAACTAGATCTGAAACATATCACGTATTGCTGTTTGTAAGATTTTGCTGAATCAGATTTGGCATTAGCTGAGCACTTTAGTTGAGCCACAGATAAAATTAGCCGTTTGCAGTTTCTGAGATTTTAGAAGTTTTAGTGCTTAGGACCTTCAAATATAATGATTCTCTTGTGAGCAGTGTTGTTTTAGTATTATCTATTATACAACTATTATAGTTGGTATTCATTTTTAATTTTTCGATATTCCGATATTCTGTTGTGTGTTTTTTTTTCATATACATTTCTGTTTAGCTTTAGTGCTTCATTTCAATTGATTAAGCTAACAATAACAGCACTGCTTGTGAGGGACACCTATCCTATCCTAAAAAGTTGTTATATATATTAATGTACAAAAACGTATTTATAATGCATGAGAAAAAAAGTGTTTAAAATATTTTCTAAATTAAGTAATAATACTGTCACTGTACTAAAGTCAAAACAAATTATTATTCAAGGTTCATTTATTACTATAAACAAATGGTTATTCAAAGTTTTTGAACATAACATTTTTTTTTTTTTTTTTTAAATAAATATTTTTTGCTCACCAAGCCTGCATTTAGTTGATCCAAAATACAGCAAAAGCAGTACTATTGTGAAATATTGGTTACACTTTACTTGAAGGGGTGTGCATAAGACTGACATGACACCTACATAATCATGACATGACACATGTCATGAATATGAAGGTTTTTTATGCATGTTTATGACAACTGTCATTAAGTGTCATTCGCTCAGTTATGTAATTTTTAATGCAAAGACGACATTGTTTGTCATCTTTGTGCCACATGATCCTTCAGACATCATTCTTATATGCTGATTTGTTGCTCAAGAAACATCTTGTATTATTATTATTATCAATATTTAAAACAGCTGAGTACATTTTTTCAGGATTCTTTGATGAATAGAAAGATCCAAAGATCAGCATTTATCTGAAATAAAAAGCTTTTGTAACATTCAAAAGCTTGGAGTCATCTTTTATTTTTTTCAGGGGGTTACAGAAATTAATACTTTTATTTTGCAAGGAAAATTAAATTGACCAAAAGTGATGATAAAGACATTTCTAATATTACAAACGATTTCTATTTCAGATAAATGCTGCTCTTCTGAACTTTCTATTCACCAAAGAAACCTGAAAAAAAATCTACTCAGCTGTTTTCAACATAATAATAATAATAAACGGATTTTGAGCAGCAAATCAGAATATTATAGTGATTTCTGAAGGATCATGTGACTGGAGTAATGATGCTAAAAATTCTGCTTTGAAATCACAGGAATAAATTAAAGAAACCTGAAAAAAAAATCTACTCAGCTGTTTTCAACATAATAATAATAATAAATGGTTTTTGAGCAGCAAATCAGAATATTATAGTGATTTCTGAAGGATCATGTGACTGGAGTAATGATGCTAAAAATTCTGCTTTGAAATCACAGGAATAAATTAAATTTTAATATATATTCAGATACTAAGCAGTTATTTTAAATAGTAAATGATATTTCACAATATTACAGTTTTTGCTGTATTTTGGATCAAATAAATGCAGGTTTGATGAGCAGAAGAGAATTCTTTAAAAACGTAAAGAATCTTACTGTTCAGAAACATTTGACTGGTAGTGTATTTTTAAATAGAAAAATGTAAATATTTAAAATATATATTTAATTATTTATTATTAAATATAATATTAAATATATATACTTCTTTTAAACACACCATTACAGTCATGTTAAAGTTATAAAAGAGAAACATTTTCAATTGAAAAATTAAATTGCTTTTAACACAAATATAAATCCAAAGCTGTTAAAAATTAAACGAAATATTTTAGGTTAACTTTGACAGCCCCTAAAGTACATTTTGTGAAATCTTTTTCTTTTGTCTTCTTCTTCAAATTTTCCATGGGGCCCTTAGCGCCACCTTGTGGTCCCCGGACCCCAGTTTGAAAACCCCTGTATTAAAATGTTTAGTGTTAAAAATGTGATTTTACTGGTATGGCTTGCTCAGGCTGTCAATAAACTTGTGGAAGAAGACGTCTTCGCGGGTTAATGAAACAACCGTTCTGAAGTTCTCAACTGTTTCTGTGGATATCTGTGGAGAAGAGTTACCAGTCAGTTATACATAATCCTTTATTGCGTATATTAAATCACATAAATTGAACAAAACAAAACCAAAACAAAAGGGTCAATGACCAGTATACTGCACCTTGCCAGACATCTCCAGTGCACTCTGATCTTTGGATGCATGTCCTGACATGGCTCTCATCTGGATGAAATTAGCCGCCGTGAGGAAGGGGACACAGGCAAGGATAAGCAAGGTGAGCTGCCAGCTATGGATGAAGGCCACAATGACAGCGATGCCAAGAGCACAGATAGTGTTTGTGGCTAGACCTAATCTGGATCCTGCTGCCTAGAGATGAGAAGAAGAGAGAAGAAAAAAGTCACTACCCAACTAAGCTACATTTTCAATAAATATAATATTTAAATACACTCCCGTTCAAAAGTTTGGTGTGAGTACGTTTTTTTTAATCTGCAAAGATGCTTTAAATTAATCAAAAGTGACAGTAAAGACATTTATAATTTTACAAAAGATTTCTATTTTAAATAAATAATGTAGAAGAATCCTGAAAAATGAATCATGGTTTTCACAAAAATATTAAGCAGCACAAAGCCATTGCATGAAATAAAATAAAATAAAAGATGGAAGTTGGAATTTAAAGATAGAATTTTATATATATATATATATATATATATATATATATATATATATAAAGATATATTTAAAAAAAAATCAGAATAAAAATGACAAAAATACAACAAAATTACTAACATCTAAAATTGAAAGTATATATATATATATATTAATAAAAACGGCAAAAGTATTTCAAATATGCTTAACACTGATTCAAATATTAACATTGATAACAATAACTATTTCTTAAGCAGCTAATTAGCATATTAGAATGATTTCCGAAGGAACATGTCAAATTAAGACGGGAGTGATGGTGCTGAAAATTCAGCTTTGCCATTACAGGACTAAATTACATTTTAAAGTGTATTCAAACAGAATATAATTATTTTACAATATTACAGTTGCACTGTATTTTTGATCAAATAAATTGGTGCGCATAAGAGACTTAAGAGACCCCTAACGTTTGAATGGTCGTGTACCTGTGAATTCAAAACTATACTAAAAGCTGTAGTCATATGGATTAGCTCTCACATAAATACGACTGAGAAACAGATTCAGCCAGGCCTATAACGGTTTAAAGAGATGGATGTAATGAACCAGAGCCAAAAACACAGGCTGTTTCCACGGTGAAAACTTAATTACTGGTTCTGATGGCAAATCACTGTGTTCCACTCACCCCTTTAACCAGAGACGCATCTGTGGCTAATTTAGTGGTCAGGACTCCCACTGCATTGTTGTTGTCATCAAACCAAGCAATCTCCTGTTGAGAGAAACAGGCTTGAGGATGAAGCACGCATTTCAATAGCTATTTCTTTGTTCCAGATTAGTTCTCAACTGCATACAGTAATGGAACAAGAGATGCGGGAAATGTGCCATACCTGTCTGATCATGGCATTGAAAGCCTGACATCTCAACCTCATGGTTAGCAGCTCCCCAGATTTACCAAACATGAAGCCCTACAGGACAGAGCAACAGATGTGGAAATTACGTACAGCAACTATACAGTACGTACACCATATATTCAACAAATATATTAAGTAGAACAACTGTTTTCAACACTGATAATAAAAATGTTTTCTTTAGCACCAAATCAGCTTTTTAGAAGGATTTCTGAAGACCGGAGTATTGATGCTGAAAATTCAGTTATGTCATCACAGGAATAAATTGCATATTGAAGTATTTCATTGTAATTCAAACATAAAACATTTATTTTAAATTTAAATGTATTTATAATTTTTTACAATTATTTTATTTTATATTACAAGAATATTGTACTGTTTTACTGTATTTTTACTCAAATAAATGCAGCACTGATGGACATAAGAGGACATAACTTAAAAAAAATAATCTTACCAAACTCAAAATGTTGAACGGTATATGTATAAATATAGTTTCGTTTTTATAAACTAGATACTACTTTTATTATATATATATCAGAAATTAAGTTCTGTGTAATAAAGTGGAATGACACAGGGGAAAAAGCATTGAACTCATGAAGAAAGGGAAATGCAAAAAGGCATGGAAAGCAAAGACACCAGCAGAAATCTATCAGTAATTGGAAAGCAATCCTGCCCCTAGTCAGTGGAAATTAATATTAGCTGGTTTAGTCCCAACAGATGGCCTATAAAAAGATGTCTCATGTCTCAAAGGTGTTCATCTCTCTAACCCAAAATAGTAGCAAACGCTAGTAATAATGCAACATACGCTTCGTTTCCATTACCTTTCAAATTGCGCAAATTGAAATTGCGAACTGAACGTATACGTCTCCTTCGACTAAAAATAATGGCTATATAGTGCGATGGCTGCGATATATGCAAACCTACCTACTTCTGTCGCCATGACTTATTGCGAGAGGTAAAAATGACATTTTAGTGGCATAAAATCGGGGAATGGAAACACTGCCATTTCGTAATAGTTTTTTTTAATGAACATTTATAAAATATCACAAAAGATTTGCGCAAATCTGTAATGGAAATGCACCTATAGACTCACCTGGAAGAAATATGTGACAAAGGCCACTGCTCCCGTTAGTAGAAAGAAAAGTGAGAACATCATGGTCTTCTGTCGCTTTACATCAGGGTCAACCTCTGCAAACACCTAGAAACAGATGAGATTCTATTGAACTGAACATTCTGATGAAATCACTCTAAATGCTATGTGCTTAGCGGATGAGTGTAAAATCCAATCCACATTTTTAAATGAATTATTTTGAAACTATCATGAGGAGATGAGCTACACAATAGAGATTTTTGTTCAGAGATGTGCAAACACAGACAAAGGACACTCACTCCAATGATTTTGGCAAACAGAATGGCCACACAGGGATAAACAGCTCCACCCACAAGGCTGGCCAGCGTGCCCACCAGCAGGTACGGCCATTCTGGCTTGTTCAGAGCCAGAATTTTAGTGAAAGGTATTTCTGGAGCTTTTTCTTTTTCCTACAAGAGAATTTGAAAAGATCCAATTACTCCATTTAAGAATCACCAGTGTGATTCGCTCTGTAGCATCAAAGAAGCGGAGTGCATGTACCTTTTTGTCTTTTTTGGATTTCTTGCTCTTCTTCTTTGAGGACTTCTTTCTGGAGGAACGTCTCTCACTGCCACGTCTTAAGCTTCGTCTAAAGGTTCCGCTCTCCATTTGCATTTCCATTACTCCCTCAGGAGTTTCTGTTTCAGAAGATTCCTCACCGGTTTCTCCCTCAGAATCATCCTGAGTATCATCTTCATTGGCATCAAGATCATCATCATTTGGTCTCCCAGAGGTCTGTTAATGTAAATGAGTAGAAAAATAAACAAATAAATAAATAAAAACATTATGCCAAATAACTCCAAATATGGTGGCCTTCATGCGAGAGACCCCTTCCTAAAGGATACAGGTGTTTTTATATATTTATTTTTTATTAATTTAAGTGTATAAAGACTCCTTTATACTGAGTGGCAGAAATATTAAGCATGAAATTATAATGGAAATATTCCATTGTAATTGCCTTTTATATTGTATTTTCACAGTACTGCAACCAACACACACATATACACACACACACACACACACACACACACACACACACACACTACTGTTCAAAATTTTGGGGTCAGTAAGATAAAAGTTTTCTTTCTTTTTTAGTAAAAGATTTCTTTCAAAAAGATTAAATCTTACTGAACCCAACTTTTGAATAAATATATATATATATA